GGGGGGCTCGGCCAAGGCTGAAGGTGAGGTTTGGGGGAGGAAGAAGAGTTTCTTTAAATAACCCCAGTTTTGTCCCTGGCGTCTCCTGGGGGTGCTGTGAACACAAGGGGACACACACCCGCTGCCCAGCCTGAGCCCGGGGCAGGGGGCACGGGGAACCCCCAACCCCCTTCCTCCCCCAAATGACCAAAAAAAATGACCAAAAAAGCAAAAAAAAAAAGGAAAAAAGCAAAAAGCGAAAGGCAGGGGTGGGCAGCAGGGGAGGGGAAGCAGGGTGAGCCCAGGGGGGCCGGGCAGCACCGCTGGGACCCCCCAGACCCACCCCAGGACCAAGGACTCGGCTTTTCACTGGGAAACGGCAAGTTTTCCTGGAGGAAATAAATTAAACTGCCAACTTGGTGGTGGATTTTTGTTGTAAAGTAGACAACCACATCACCCTCCATAGAGAACTAGTGCATGCAAAGGACTCTTCCAGAGCAGAAACCCACGGGCTACAGGAGGAGAGGAGACAGACTAGTGACCGGACACCGCCTACAGGGACATTAGTAAGGGATCCTCAACAGGATGATTTTTATTTGTTTCTTTTACCTTGAAAGCTAAATCAGTGCTTTGTATTAAGTCTTTTTTTTTTTTTTTTTTTTTTTGACAGGAGCTTAATATTTAACTTTCAGCTTTTATGGTTTAGGTTTTTACAATTAAGAAAATTACATTTTCAGAGATGCACACATAGTCAATAGCAAAAGTTCCTTTTGTCAAAAAGAGAGCCCATCCCAACATATTTTCCCAAGGAAAGTTATTCTCAATTGATGGCTTTGTTTTCTCAAAGAAGACAAGTTTCTCTGATTCACATTAGTTAATGCCTGCACATCTGGAGTCACAAAGAGTTACTAAAAACAGCAGTTCTCCAGGTAACAAAGTGCTTAGATTTATGACTAACAGTATATCCTGGGATTAGGCTTTTTAAAACAAAGGAGTACATGCATATGAAAAAGCTACCCTTTTTGAAGATGTACTGAACTTGGCATTATTTGAGATGAAAAGCTCTGGAAACTAGTTTTTGTGGAATCTAAGGACTCTGACAGAAGACTCTGCTGACTACTGCTTTGCCAGTTCAAGAGATTCCTGTCTGTAACTCTCCTTCTTGGCAGTTACCCTACTAGCATCTATCATGGGAGTAAGGGGGATGAAAGGGAACATGAGCCTTCATATTAACCACTTCAGTGGAAAATCTTGTAGCTTAGTATAGTCTGCCAAGAAAAGTGGTTTGGTCAAAAATACCACACTGTGAACTGGAGAGTTTGAGAAACAGGCGTGTGTGTTGGTCTTCTTTTTATTCAGTAGTTGAATGAGAAGTTTCTAGCAGCAAGAACAGAACGCGTGGCTCAGCCTTTTGCCAGGAGACCCAGCGGCTCGGGGGGAGCAGGGGGGGGTGAGAGAGGGGAGTGAGAAGCCCACGGTCC